TACTACCACAGCCACCACTACTACTACCACTACGTGTCACTTATGGACAGTGGAATTTGGGATTAGGTTTGGGCGCAGAGTCGTTTACTACTTGACTCCGGCTGCTTCCGATCAACTCCTATGGATTACTGCTGACCCCTGTTGATTCACACAGATTCGACATAATGCATGTATTCCGGCTGGTTCCCATTGGTTCCTGATGATCCCGACTGATCTCGATTGGTTCCTACTGGGTTCATTGAAATGTTTGATTCCCGTTGAGTCCCTTTGGCCCTCTTGATTCTTCTTGATTTCTACTGATTCTAATTGGGTTGATTGTTTCTGAATGACCCAGATGGGTTCTTACAAGTTTGCAAAATTATTGTACCATTCCAATCGAATCCCATTTAACTATTGAATCGTGCTGATTAGTAGTGGTTAACATTGGTTTTTACCACTTCCTATTGTACTCGATTCGTTCCATTGAATCCTGAATATTGATTCCACTAAGTTCGACTGAGTCCCATGGATTCCCATTGGTTCTGAATGAGCCCCATTGGTTTCCATTGTTTCCAGTTGGTTGCGACTGAATCCCACTGATTCCACATGATTCCTATTGGTGACGGGTGATCCCTCCTGATTCAGATTGATTCCTGCTCATTTTTTTCCACACTAATCTGGAAAAGGTTCCCAACGATTCTCCGCTTTCCCTTATAATTTCTAATGTTGATTGCTAACGTTTCCCGCTCATTCCGACGGTTCCCTCTTGGTTCCTCATGTTCTTCCCGGTTCAACCTAATTGATGCCGACTGATTCCAATTGACTCCGATGGATCCCTTCTGCTTCCTACTGATTCATATCGATTTCGCGCGCACACGTTGAGAACGCCACCGCTCGACATCTGATTGCGAAGCAAGCGCGTAATAGCTCCACTGACGCATCGGCATCTGCCTGCCGTAGCGCCAACCGCAGCAATGGGATATCCTTGGCGCGGGAGAGAATTTCCTGCGAGGCCGGGGCGGAGGGGACAAATGAGGCGGAGAAGCCCAAACCCCACTTGTAATGTCAAGACAGACTGCTGTGGGAGGCTGAGATCGGCGCTCTCCTTGACTTCCAAATGAAGAACACATGGATTATCATGGATTTGACAAAATTATCCGTTCGGGCTCGCTCTCACACGCAGACACTCCTTGACAGAGACCCGCAGCCAGGCTCCGCGAACGGGATGCACATCTGAGGGTATCCGCGACGAGTCGCTTCCCTTTCCCAGAGAATGGGGGCCCTGCCCGCGCCTCCTTCCTTGTGTTGCAACTCATGGAAGTATCTCGACATCGACGCGAATCGACGCTAGTCGATGTTAACCGACGATAGGTCGACGCTAATCAACGCTAGCCGACGCTACATCGGCGCTGTCCCTTCGACGACCAGACGCTAGCCGTCGCTAGTCCACTGTAAAGACGGTGTTGCGACGGCACAAGGCTCCCATGCTTTGCTCACGAACCTTTCCCTGCGAGATCTGGACACCCGAAATGGGTAGGGAAAACATGGGCGCGTTGCCCAACACAAACATTGTCCAAAACCGACAGCGGCCGCTGTTGGGCAGGCAGCCTTCTGCCTCGAATGGACACCGTCCGCGGCAACACCCACAACGAAACCTGCTCATAGTGAGCAGGACATGCTCTCGGTCTTTGTGCCCGTTCTTTCCGTACCAGTTCTTTCGGTACAAGTTCGACCGTACCGAGATCGGGGAGACGTAAGACCCGGGTACGGGGGACTCGGAAATCCCCGACGAGGTCGTCAAAAAAATGACGAGGCCGAGCCTGCATTCTGACGAGGCCTCCCGCTGCAGACACCCCACGAAACTCCTCCTCGTCAAAATCCGAGTCGCGGTCGTCAAAAAACGATGGCGAACCCGAGTCCCGGCAAACCCGGGTCTTACGCTCCCCCGACGAGAGGAGGGGGGGGAGGGCGAGGAAACGGCCGGCGGGCGCCCGGCCTGCGCGGATGCTGGCGCCCGGTCCCGCCGCCGGCCTGCCGGGTTGTCCAGCGCCCCGCAGAACTCGAGCAGCTCCACCTGCGGCGGACGGGTGTCGTCGTCGTCCTCGTCCTCCTCGTCGTCCTCCTCCTCCTCCTCGTCGTCCCCCTCGTCCTCCTCTTCCTCCTCCTCTTCCTCCTCCTCCTCCTCCTCCTGCCCCGCCTTCTCTTCCTCGGAGGCCTCGGTGGCCCGAGGCACGCCTGGTCACTCCCTGAGCAAGCAGCGCACCACGACAGAAGGAGGGAGGGTCACAAGCAAGGCTCCGCCTGGGTGGGAGGCATCCTCCTCCTCCTCCTCATCCTCATCCTCCTCCTCCCAATCCCTTGGAATTCCAGTTGGGAGACGGTCGAGAGACGATGGGGGGGGAAGGCAGCCTGCTTAGTTACTCCAGATTTCGTAATAAAAGGGAGGGGGTCTCATTTCGGGGGGGGTCTCTTCCAGGCTATCTTGGAGGGCCTGGGGGGTCTGGGGACGATGTTTTGGAGGGTTCTCCCACGGGGGGAGGTCTGAAATGGCTTGTCTTGGAGGGTCCAGACCCCCTCCCTTTTATTATGAAATCTGGAGTACTCTATGCCCTCGCGGGCCCCCGTACACATCCATGTCCTTGCCAGCTACTTACCGCTGTGCAGCGCATGCCCACTCAACGTCAAAAAAAGCGAAGCGAAAGAAGGGGACAATGTGGGAACGGGGTCTGGGAAGGGGAGGGGGGCAACAGATGAATAAATAGCAATCGCTGCAGAAGGCCGAGGGTGGAGAGGAAGCCTATCCTCCACCAGGGCAAGGTGTTCATTAGCACACGGCGCGTGGCCACTATCTTCCCACCCGCGCTTTCTCCATCCTGTCCGTCCTATCCCGTGGAAGCTCACAGGAACCTCCCATGTCATCCCGCTGGCTCTTGCGAATCGACGACGCTGGGCAACGCTAATCGATGGTACATTGACGCACAGCGACGCTAAATCGGCGCTGTCTCATCGATTACCAGACGCTAGCGCAAACGACGAATGCACTCTACAGACGCGATGACGAGGACCTACGAGGTTCTTATGACTTGCTACCGAAGTCCTTCAACCATCGACCTGCGGCGACGCGTCGCCAATAGATCGGCGATAGGCCCCCGATAGCGAATCCGCACGGTCTTGGGCGGGGTGGGCTATCAGACCCCTATCGGCAATGCATGGGCGAGTGGGGGTCGATGCATCCCCCCCATGCCTATCCCCCCATATCTTTGCCCCTGACTTCGGCCAACGCAGACGGCCGAAGGGAGGGATGCCAACATACATCGACAACTCTGACCTTACTACCTGAAGGCGCCAATTGCCACCGTCCAGCATTTGTCCTCCCTCGGTCCCCATACCTTCCAGCGCCGTGCAGCCATGGCGACGCACTCTTCCTCCATGATTTCTCGGCCTCGGAAGGCCGGCCCGCGGGACCAGCGGAGCACGACACCCGCGACTCGAGACGGTGTCGGAAGGAGCGGCGCCGTGCAGCAAGGCAAGACGACGGTCCTTCCGGGCCCCCGTCGGTGTGCCTGCCGACGACGGCACGGGGAAGCTCTGGTCGGCGGCCTCGGGGGAAAGCCGGCGCACGCTGGTGAGTGCCGGGCGCCCAGCCTGCTCGGCGCCGTGAGCCTCGCGCGCGGCGTGAGGCGGGTCGGCCGCGCCGGCGGGCGAGGCCCCGTGCGCCCCTTGCCCGCCTCACCCCCCGACTTCGTGGCTTCGCCCCGCCGCGCATTCGTCGGTGTCCGCGCGAAGAGATCGTGTTTTTTTCCGCGGCGGCAACCCAGGTGATCGGGTCGTGGCGGAGGGAGGTGCGGGCGGATAACCCAACATTGTCGCCTCGGGCAGCCCCACGCATGCCCGCGCGCACCAGCCCTGTGTAGCCCCTTTAATCGCCAGACCCTTACAAAACAGTCTCGAGAGGGCTCTGCGGGGCCAGGCTAGAGAGCCGAGAAGCACGCAGTCAGATGCGGCGGAAGAGGCGGGGCTGGCAGGCACCCCCAGGCAGCACAGAACTGCGCTCTCGTCTGGCCAAGTCGATCCAAGCATCTGTTTCGACGCTTGTGCCGCAGGTGTGCCCTCACTGCCCAAGGTGAGGGCAGTAAACTCAGTAGCGGGCAGACAGCCCCCCCGGAGGCAGCCCCAGCTGGTCTCAACACACCAACCCTGGGGCGCTCCGCGCCCCAGGGGCGCCGCGGGAGGCGGAGCCAGGGTATTGAGTCCGCCCCTTGCTACGCAGGGGCCTGGTGAGGCCAGCGCTTACCACTTCCCTCAATGACCCCGTCCTCTTGATTAACCGTCCCAGGCATCCGACACCACAATTTTCCCATAGAACTGTTGTTTCGATATTTCTGGGGGCTGAACTGGGGCCACCGAAAGGTAACGCTTGAGCGGAATGGGGCACGTCGGCATGGTAGCGAGCTGCGATCGCCATAATATGCGCGCGAGCATCAATATGGGGAGGGGGTTCCAGACCTCCCCCCGGGCACGATCGTTACGGTTCCTCGGGGGGGGGAGAAACGCCTTGACCCAGGGAAAGACCGTTGCGCGCCAGAGGATTCAAACAGATAGTTGCGTACCTGCCCGATCTTTCCCTAAGGACAACTTTTCATCCTGCCAGCTTGGGGCCCCGGAGCGGCCCCCTCCAGAGCCCCGAACACTGTGGAGAACGTCCGCATCGATTTCTGTCACGACACGAGAGGTTCTGGGCTCCCGCGCTGCTCGGAGCAGGGCGAGTTGAGATAGCTGTCCCCGGACCCCTCCAGGGGTCCGCACGCACCACCTTCCCGCGCTGCGTCCAGCCGTGGCGACGAGGGACCCTCCGAAGGCCAACTACCGTTGTCTCACCTCGCCCTCTTCTCTGACCCGCCTCCCTCGACGCCTCGCCGTTGCCGTCGGAATCGAACAGCCGGAACAGAGCGTCCAGCTGCTGGGGCGACAGGTCCGGCTGCAGGCTGCGCAGCGTCGGCTCCAACTCGTGGCGGCCGAGCCTCGGGGGTGGGCGGAGGCCCGCAGTTCCCCCTTCCGTCCACGCATCGTGAAACCGATCCCTGCAGTCGAAACGTGGACACGACAACGTCCTGCCAGGACACGGGCCCCTTCGCCGAGAGCCCAAGGCCCTGTGCAGATGCGCCGAGCGAAGGCCACTCCAAGGTGGAGAGCCCAAACAGAGAGAACATCAGGGAACCCCTCGCATCACCACCACACACCAGAATGGGTGGAGCATCAGCAGCCACCACCACGCCACGCCACGCCCACATGGCCACGACCACAAAAGGGGGGACGCATCGCGGGGGGGGAGGGGGAGTCATCAGCAAAGGGGGGGGAATGGGGAACAACAACATGGAGGATACGTTGTGCCATTCCGCTGCAATGCCTAACGACGAATCAATCAGGTGGAGTTAACGTTAACCAGATCAGGTGGGCGGATGATGAGCACGAACAAATGGAAGAGCGGCAAGAGGGGCGGCGGCGGAGATAGCAGCAAACTGTTGTTCAATCCTTGGCGTTGTTTCGGACTCTTGACATTCATATACACGTATACACAAGTGTGCATATTTTGATCTAGCTGCTGGCTCCTTTGGGGGATATGAGGCTGCGAAGCGACGTACGTAGCACCCCGCAATCGCGGATCAGACTGAGGGGGCGGCGGGGACGTCGGCAGTCTGCGAGGCTCTGAAAAAGCCCGCCGCAGGCGCCAAAGTTTTACAAATCATACCAAGAGCCCGCCGCAGGCGCCGATTTTACGTTAAAACAATGTGGGTGGGTCACGGGGTGGATGGCGGGTGTGTCGCGGGAAGGTCGCGGGTGGGTCGCGGGCCGGGTCGCGGGTGGGTCGCGGGAAGGTCGTGGGTGGGCCACGGGTGGGTCGCGGTCGGATCGCGGGGTGGGTCGCGGGTGGGTCGCGGGTGGGTCGCGGGTGGGTCGCGGGTGGGTCGCGGGGTGGGTCGCGCTTGAGTCGCGGGGTGGGTCGCAGGTGGGTGGCTCGTGGGGGGGACGACGACAACAAACAAACACAGCAGCAACAACACCAACACCAACACCAACAACAGCAACAACAACACCAACAATCATTTAAGACTGGGGACACTCCGTTCTCACCAGTGCCAGGGTTTTCATAGGAGGCGGGCAATACCCCCACTTTGTGGGGGGGCCGGTTCAAGCTCTACCAAGTTTCCAAACGACTCTTCGCCACCACCCACACCCAGCTTCCCGCCCTATGACGTTCGGACACTTCACTTCGTGGCCTGCGGACGACCTTGGCTACTACACTGGCGCATGGTTACAATGACTTCTTGTGGTAACATCTTGTGGAAACTAGCTTAGTATACGACTTACACGGGCGATACCTTGATCCGAGATGGCTACGGATGTGACAGTGATCAGTCGGAGGCTTCCTGGGGCCGCTTGGGGTCCTCTTGGGGAAGGGGGGAAGCCTCCTGGCGCCGCTTGGGGTCCTCTTGAGGGGCTTTGGGGGGCTTCTTGGAAGCATCTTGGGGCCTCTTGGGGGCTTATTGGGTCCTCACGGCGGGCTCTTGGGGCCTCTTGAAGGCCTCCTGGGGCAACCTATGGCGCAACCAGTAGGGGGACGTTTTATTCTCGGCGGCCGAGGGCGCAACCTATGGCGCAACCAATAGGGGGGCGTTTTATTCTCGGCGGCCGAGGGCGCAACCTATGGCGCAACCGCAAGGGCGCAACCTATGGCGGACGTGGTGACACACTGACTTGTTGTGGTAACATGCCGACGACGATTTGAAGGGCCTACGGTGCGGAAAATGATTTTATGTTGCGCGGTGCTAAAATTCCTACGAAACCCAATGGTTTTTGAAGATTTCGGCGTGCGCACGGAAAGAAAAAACGAATGTGTCCCGCATGGTATTATTTGACAGGGATGATGGCCCTGGCAGGTGCGCAACCGTTGTTGGAGAAGTTCGAAGCACGTGAAGAAGTTGATCGCAAAAGCCCGTTTGACAGAAATGTTTAAAAAGTGTTGGGTTTCCTGCAAATCCGCAAGAGCGCGCGGGATGAAATTGTGACACTTTTTTATAAAAAACCATTGTTTTTTTTTTTTTTTTTGATGTTTTTATGTTGAAACCGATACGAACACTAAGGTTTTGGAAGGATTTCGTCTTGCGCGCGCGAATGTCCACTTTACCTTATTTTTTGCAAGGGATTCTTGAAGTTTGGTTATTTTAGAACAAGAAATTTCATTTTATAGTGTTTTTTGCAAGGGACAGCGGGGGGGAACAAAACAACCGGATCTGGATCACATCGTTTTACCTGAGGCTTCCTCACGAAAATGATGAAAATGTAGCTGCGGCCTAGGCGGCGCAGGGGGGGCGCGCACCAGGGGGCCCAACAATAATTATTCTTTAGAATAAATAATGTTCAATACGCACCGCAGAATCTCACTTCAGCCACGCGCCCAAGGACAATGAATGACCGTTCGGCCCCCTCACCCTGCGAACTATAGCGACTAGATGTCCGGGTTCGAGTGGTGTAACGGCTCTGAAATCCGCGCGACGATGCTGGCCCGAAAACCGGCAAAGCGCCTTCCAAGAATTACGTGTACAAATTCAGCAGAATCGCGCTCCCAAAGCCACACAATCGCGTTCCCGAAATAGCAATCCCTTCTCACGACTTCGCGTTCCGAAGACAAGTCCGCGTCATCTGCAACAGGGTCGCGCTCCCGAAACCACAATCGCTTGCAACTGCCAACGGGGCGTACGTCCCGAACCGCAGCCGATCGACAATTGCATCGCTTTCGCGCTCCCGAAACCACAATCCCTGACAAATCACGTCGCGTTGGGCGCTCGCGCTCCCGAGGCAATCGCCCCTGGCCACAGTCCATTGGACAAACGTTAGGATGCAACTCGCGGAAGCTGCTGGTCGTCTCCATGGCGCCCAATAGCGCGCCCAACCGCGCGCAAAACGGACATAATGCATGTTCGCTTCATGGCGATATTGGGCGATATTGGTCGCTACTGGGCGACATTTCAACACTCAAAAATATTAGGGGCTATTGAAAGGTACTCGCTGGAATACATTCAACCCAAGACGAGGGGAAGCTTCCGTGATGTACTATCTAACACGAGGGCGCCCTTGAACAGAACAATTGTCGCGGTCTGTGTTGAGAAGGGGTGTCCTAGCCCCTCGTCGTTTCCCAGGAACTCGGCCCAAGACCCGAAACCACGATCCCTCGGTCCTCGGAAACAACAGAAGGGTGCATGCTTCTGAAAGGACGAACCTTCCCAAGCTACAATGGAAACAAAAACCCGGGGCCACCATCTTCCATTGACATTCTCACTTTTAACTTTTCCAGTGAAGGTCGTTACGCAGGGGAGGGGCTTGGGGCCGCGGTTAAAAGGTAGCGCTTGGGCGCACGTTGGGGCGGGGGTGCGCTGAGATCGCCGTAGCGTATGCGCGCGAGCACCAACATGTGGGGGGTGTGGGGGCGGGGGGGTCTGGCCTGGCGTAACGGCCCATACGCGCCAGAGGGTGAACAGCAACATCATGAATCACTCCAGACGCGCGCGAACGGCCAACCAACAAACAATCCGATCAACAGCCACCAGCCAGCAAGAGTGGCCAACCAACCGACCGTTACGAACACCAACCACCTTCCCGACCAATCGAGGTGGCCATGATAATTAAACGTCTGAGGGGGGCCAGCGGCAGAGGGCGAACGCGCGCTAAAGTTTGGAGAAATGGAACTCGGGTGGAATGTTGCGCGCGAGGCGGGATGACGCGGACGCGAGAAAGAGAGAGAGAGAGAGAGAGAGAGAGCGAGAGGAGAGAGAGAGGATGTGGGGGGGAGGTAGGACGCAAGGCATCGGGGAGATGGAATTCCCCTGGCGCAAGGGTATTGGGGGGATGGAATTCCCCTGCGAGCCGTCGGGCAGGACCGAAGAGGCGAACAGCTAAGCCTGAGATGGAGGTCGCGCGCTGCGAGCGACCTCCCTGCAACAATTCTGGCGCCCAGCGGTATTCCTCGGACTGCGCGGCGGGCATTTGGCTCAGCACAGGCCGCGGGCGCCCAGCGGGACAAAGACCAAAGGCCGAGCCAACCCCGACGGCCTTGGGGACAGAGGCGCAGCCTGAATCGTGCCTGTCTTGCCAGATGCGGAGCTCAAATAGGCCCGCGCGGCCAATCAGAACAGCCAGCAGGCTGAGCCATGCTGCCCATGGACAGGGCACCGCGGGCAGCAAGAGAAACGAGGAAGTGGGGAACAATGGAAGTGACGTCCAGACAGGCAGGGAGCCGAGGCAGGGATAAACCCTTCAGAAACAAACACGAAACATAACCACCCCCGTAAAAAAAGTTCAACAACCTGTCTGGGAACGCGCCTGGCATCCGCGACAAGACCCTCACAGGCCTCGTGCTCCTCCGCAGGGGTGGAGGCGCCCCCCGCAGGGGCAATGCTCTGCTCGCCCTGTGCCTTGGGCACCGAGTGTGGGGTCAGCGCTCGTGGCCGCCCCACCTACCACGGAGGACCTGGCGGGTTCTCTGGCCTGAACTCGGGCTGGGACTGCGAGCGTCCCAAACGCCTGTGCAAACCCATCCAACCCTTGCGCTGCTGTCGCCACATCGGTAACGGGGAGGTGCGGTGGCAGCATGGCGCGCGGAGTTGACGCCGCGCCGCGAGGACGCCGAGACGCACGTTTCCTCAATTCTGCAGCGGGAGTCAACACCATCAGGGATTCGGGGCAAGGGAGTTTTAGCACCTGTGCCAGGGGCCACCAGGGGCCTTGGCAGCCCCTGGCCGCAAACATTATGCCCCGATCTTGGAGCACTCTCGAATAATAGGCACCGCGCGCAGTGCAAGCATGAAGGCAATCGTTTAGCTTGGCGGGGAACCGCTGCGCGCCAGAGTCTGACCTTTACTCAAACCGAATGCGCTTATCCAGGTGACGCTGGGCCCTCTGCAGCCTGCCATCTGCCATGTGCTATGGCCCCGCCACAGCAAGAGAAATCTAAGGCACCGCGCGC